GTAGTCAATTTTATAGTCCGGTTATCCGGATAACCTAACAGTTAACCGGTTATGATACCTTAGGGTACGAGCACTATACTGCAGGACCTATTAACATCCCTAGTAAATTTATTATGAGTGCTGCAAAGGGTAACCTGCAAATTTATAGGTAAAGATACTTTTGACACCTAATATTGATAGTATGAGGAGTTCAAATAATTTTATTGATTCGAATAAAGAAATTTAAAATAGGATGTCCGATTAGATATCCGAATCAAAGCACTTCTAAAAACAAAGACGATAAGTCACGTAACGTCCGCTGGTCTCGGATGACCTTATGATCTTAACCACCTATTAACAAAATCGTTTAACGTTTATGCTTAATAATAAATGGCATCAGCCATGACAATAAATAAAGATCCTTCAAATAAAAAGATCACGAACCTGCCCCCTCTTCAATCCATAATATTTTGCAACAGGATCTGTCGTTTGAATACGCGGTAATTGTGTATCTTTTAATCGGCTATTTCAGAAATGTTAATTATTGTATAGAAAGGAACAAAAAGAAAAATATATACATGTTATTCAGTCGCAATCCTTACTATTTAGCTAATAAAGTCTTCTTTTCTTCTTCGGTTAATACATAATGTTTCGGCACTAACTGATGATGAGTAATGTTAACCATCAAATCTGCTTCTGAAAATGTGTCAATTTCATAGGATCTGTTTTCTTTGGTGTTGATAACTTGAATCGCCTAATCCAAATATTTTATTCTAGATTACTAATTCCATATATAACAAATTACATAATAGATTTCGATTACCTTATTAGCTGCAGCCGTCATTGTGCCGGAAAAAACGACAATACCTCTGGAAACTTTTGTATCTAACATTCGCTGGCATAAGCTGAAAAGTTCAATAAAAATCAAAATGTAATTAATCTATTGCCTATTTTCGATCTCAGATTTATAGTATGTGATTCGACAGTTAATCAATATCTCTATTTAATGCCAATTTTAAACTGAGATCATTCTGATTTCAATTTAGACTAATACTCACGCTTTAAGAGTTTTTACACCTACAGGCTTATCATCAGGAAACACAACAAGGAGTTGTTCATTTGGATTATCATTTTTTTGTACTTGAAACATCATCGATTCTTTGCTAATAGTCATCAAAAGTATGTGAATAATCTTTTGACTCGATGTCATACACTTTAAGGATCTGTCATAAATGGACATTTACTGTAACACGCCGTTCTTTAGACACCTTTCTTTAAAATGCTCGATGTCATTGTATGCGTCGCTATTAATTACATAGCCCTATCAAACCAGCCCGGATAAGTGTAATGGTAAGCTCTCGGCACGTCCTCTTTCAAAGTTTAATCTTGGTCTCTTTCAAAAGTGAATCAACTCACTCTATCGATCACCATTTGGTGCGCAGTTTTCCATACTCTAAACATTCTAGCGATCTCTGCATCAGGTGTGCGATCTACGTCGTCAATGTCCATTTTATTATAAAATATATGTTTGAAAACTAAAAATAAAAATTTATTATGAAAAATATTTTTTGAAACAACGTTCAGAATTTTAAGATGTTAATATAGACGATCCAATCCCGAATTTGATTCATGTGATTAAAATTCTTTAATGTGTACCTCTAAATATGAAGTTACTTTCTTGATACATCTTAGATAAAATTTGACTAAAAATTTGGTTTAAACACTACAAATATCGGTATAGCTGATAATTGTAAATTCTCAAATAAAAATTAATAAATTTAAATATAAGTATTTTGTGTATCATTATTATTTTTAGAAATTTATTCATTAAATTTCTAAGAGTATATGCGTTAAAATTTACTACAAAATCAAGCAATTAAAACCTAATCAAAAATCATTAACTAATCATTTGATATAACAATTCTATTTGGATTACGCTAAGACTCAGTAAATTGAGCCTAGTTCTCAATAAAACGATTCAAATAATACCAAAATCTTATCTTTCAACTATTGAATATATAAACTGAGTCCGGTAGGTCAATAGTTAAAATGAATATACAAATGTCTAAAATTTTGAGTATGAATGAATATTAGTTTAATCTTTATTTCTTATTAATTAATCCTATTGTCGAAATTATTCGTTAATCACATGACGATTTAAAAAAAAAGACATAATATTCGAATAAGTTGGTTAAATTTAAAATATACCATCTTGAAAGGTTCACCAATAATAATGGTGAAAAAATTTTAACTGATATCTGCTTTACCTCACAATTTGTAAGTGTCCGCAAGATATAATCATAAAACAAAAAGGCCGAATAATAATTCATAGGAGGCAAAACTACTTAAATGTAAATTAAAAAAAAATATATTACCTGAAAGAAATTGCTTATGATAATGTTAATTACAATTCCATTTCATCAACACCATCTTCATCATCATCACCCAAATACCCATCATAAGAAATTCTGTTATTTTCGACATCAAGGTCTAAATCCATTTCTTCTGAATCGATCACAGGATCCTCGGGAATGGGAGATAGTTTACCGTTATCCATAATTTCGGAAATACGACGTTCATGTACGACCTCCTTGTTTTTTCGAGGGCTTGCTCCTTTTGGCTCCTTATTGAAAAAAAATATAACATTAACAATAAATATTAAATCAAAGTAGTGATTAATAAAGGATGATAATAAATTTGAGAATTTTACCGAATTAGAAGATTCAATTGGCAACCATGGGGGACGTTGATATAAGATTAATGCCCGGACTGGATTTTCCCTGCATAAATGGTATTGTTTTTTGGTTCGTTTAGAAAGGAAGCCAAGTTCAATTTTTATAGGTTGAATTTAATAATCCAACATATTGATTTACGAGATTATCCGTTAAAAATGCGCACGTCCTCGGGAGTATCATTTCCTGTGATATCTTCTTTAATGATCTTCGAATTTCATGAGGCATTGTAACAGAATTAGAGGTGGAACACTCATCCTTTGCATCATCATTTTTTCCTTCAGAATCTTCATATTCATCAGCATCAAGATCAGTAACCATAACAACATGTTTTCGACTTGATGGAGACTTATTTTTTAGCAGACTAGCATCTAAATCCATTATATTCATTTGTTTAATATTAGTAACAGAATCTATGAAACAGGTGGACACCAAAATGAGAATAGGTTTACAAAAGATTTTTAAATTTCGGAACAGACCTTCTTCGTTGTTATGAAGACTTAAGGCGGTTAGTTCAGAAGACAAGAACTCAGAAACGTAACGGCGTTTAGCACGTTCAGTTTCCAATTGATCTATTTCCACTTCAACTGTGTGTTCACGCTTCCTCCGGGAGGGAAGAACATAAAGTGAAATAGAGTTCATGTTTTTAATTAGACAAACAAAAGATCTATTTAAAATTTAAATTTATAAGCTTTTTGAAAGAATGTCAAGAAAGTTTTGAGAAAGAGAACGAAAAGCGAATCATAAAGACGCGTTGCTAAACGGGCAATGTATAAATATTTCCAATAAGAGTGAAGGAAAGCCAAGCCTCTGCCACGTGTCTTTTAGCATGGATGATCATTTGACAAGTGAAAATAGAAATTCATTATACGCAAACTCTTGTGAACCACTAAAAATGCTAAAAATCAAATGGTTTTCTGTTTTGAGAGCATCTTGTGTGTCATGAATTTTTCGTGTATCCAGGTATGTATTTTTTTTTTCTTTAATAAAAACGGTTAACGTTAAGCATCTATTAATCTAATCTAATAACGTTAAAATTATGATTTACCAAGGTGATCATTACTAATTTCTTTAAGCCCCATGGTCACAAAATTTAATAATAAAAAAAATTTTTTTTTTATCGACTATCAAATAGATTTGATTTTCTACTTCTTGCTTTTTCATTTGATCGTTAGAACACGAGGGATTGGTTTAGCCTTTCGAAATGTAAGCTTTGACCTTTGAACGTTATTTCGAAATAAAAATAAAAAAAAAAATGGTTGCACGTTTCCTATTGCTATTTATTGATATGTTTTCCTTCCAAACAGTAACACCTTTTAACCGTTAAAATTGCAATATGAAACTCTTTGAAACCACACACACCTTTTTTTACAATTGGTCTCATGTTTCAGCCGCGAATTGGTGTAAATATCCTAATGAAAAATGCCCGCACGTTATCGCTATAGATGTATTAGACAGACATGTGGATCCAGAAACCGGTATACTTCGAACGGAAAGATTAATAACATGTCAACAAAATGTACCAAGGCTATTAAGCAGGTTGTATGGAGGTAACACAGTGATCTACGCAAGAGAGGTCAGCGAAATTGACCCAAAAAACAAGGTGCTAAGGATGACCAGTTGTAATTTGTCAATGAATAACTTAATTAACGTGTCAGAAACAGTCACATATACGGAAGATCCCTCAGATTCATCAAAGTAAGAAATGAAATGATTTAATTAGTATTTAATGTTTTTATTTTAATTTCTTGCATTAACTGAAAATTTAAAATGTAGAACATTGTTTAAACAGGAAGCTCGTATCAAATGCGGCGAGTCCATTTCACGATTTGCAAATTATATAGAAGATTTCTTTGTTCAAAGATTTAGAGATAATGCGGCGATGGGAAAGCAAGGGTTTGAAAATGTTCTAGATCGATTGACAGGGCAAGGAGAAACTCTTCTGCTTCATAAAAAAGTTTAGATTTATTATTATAAAAAAAGTTTCACATTTAAAAAAGACATTTGCATTTTGTTAGAACATAACTGAAAAGGCTGTCTTTTCTCAAAAGTAATATTACACATCTTCTTTTTTCATCCGGATCTGTCAACTAATCAACAAACAAAATTTTTAACTATCGGTCTAAAAAAAAAAGAAAAGGAGAGAAACGAGACTATATTTTCAAAAATAAATTTAGGTTAACGATCAATTATAAAATTTCACCATGATCTATTAAAATTTTTATTGGTTCTTAAGTTATGTATATCTGATATATATATAAGGTAAGTAGGGTATTATGACGCGGGTGGGTAATTTGACGCACTTGTGGTTTTTGTTAATATACTTTCCGGACAAATCCCAATCCCAAATTAGGCAAATCTTATTTGGGCTATTATAATTCTAAACTCTGGCCAAATTCCAAAATCCCATTCAAACCCAAATCCCAGCCCATGTCCCAAATCTCAATCTAGTAATGATATATTAAACTATATATATATATATATTGCAAGATATAGTGATTTTATCTCATCTGCAATGTGATTTCACACAATTTGTACAAAATAAATATCATAATGTTATTTTAAATAACTTGCATAATAATATTATATAATAACAAAATATATCAGCCACTATTGATTATAAATATACACCATTTATGTTATAAGTCACTTTCTTTTTATTTCGTCATTCATGCTTGTTATTTTGCATGATACATACGTCATCCATACTTATATTGCACTATACGAATTAAAACGGTTTTTAAAAAAACATAAATAGTATAATTTATAATCAACGACCGTCGTACTATAACACCAATATAACATGATAATTCTGAGATACATCACACTGGTACAGCGATAATATTTTTGATTATTCAGAAAATGCCGCTTCGCGGCATCCTCTGATTAAAAAAATCATCACTACCAACGTGATGTTATCATACTATACTAGGATAACAGGAACTGTTATGTGTCCGAAGCAAAAATTTAAATTCTTATACTGTATATATATGAGTGCGGCAAGAGAAAATGTACATTCGAAAAATAGATGATTATGAATTTTATAGTAATCAGTGTACATTTTCTCTTGCCCGCACTCATATATAACAAATTAATAATAGTTACGAAAAATCACGTGGCGGACAGACGGACAAAATTTTGCTCAAGACTCTAGGTTTCTACACGTGATAAGTGTAACGTGAGCGGACAGACGGACAAATTTTGCTCAAAACTCTAGTATGTAACACGTGATTACCTATATATAGACGGACATTTTTCAACTTTTACATGTACTTGAGAGTCCTCGCTACGCTTCGGACAATTATATAAGTATAAATTTTGAATTGAGATTTTACTGTAGAATCAAAAACTTGAGATTTGGGACTTGAGATATAGGATGAGATTTGAGATCTGGAATTTGGGATAGGATTTGGGATTTGAGATTGGAATAAAATTTGAAATTTGGGATAAGGTTTGGAATTTGGTTAGAGTGATTCTGTTACTCTTTATGTTTAGATCTTTAATCCCACATATCTCAATAATTACTGGCCTGATTTTGATGATCTAACCACCATTTGACTCAGAATTATCCTCTCTACAACTTTACTTAGAGTTTGAAGATATCTTTACTTAATAACTTCTCGCATAAACTTAAAGAAACTATAATTGGACCTACTTTGGGTTTAATGTAACCTACTTTGGAATCAAAATATACAAAACATAGTTTTTTGTAATTATCTTGACAACTAGCAGTCCAATCTGGATGAATTTTTTTTAAAATAAAAGCTCTCAGTGATGCACATCCAATAAAAAAGAGTTTATTTAATTCTAATTATTAAATTTTAAAATATTTAAAAAATAATAAATTTTTAATTTGGTTGATCTTTAGTAGAGGTGGCCACTATAGAAATATTATAAGATTATAATAATATCTAAACATAGTATTTGAACTAATTTAAACAAATTTGAGGTTAGTTAGAGTTAGTTAAGAGTTATAGTAAAGTTTATAGTTAGCTTTAAGGTTAGAATTAGAGTTTTTTATATTATAATCTTATAATATTTCTATATTGGTTATCTATACTAAAGGAGATTCTTTAATTTTAATAAATTAAATTAAATTAAGCAAAACCAAATTATAATTTATATTAGAGATAAAATTATTTAAATTAATTTGCTTTAGATTTAAATTTTATTTTATTTTATATTAAATTTTTTCTGTATATCATACAGGTTTATAGCTTAATAATTATAAAAGTTTTACTATATATTTATTTTATTTTAAAATTATATTTAAAAATTTTATAAGTTTATTCCTGTGCATTATTGCACAGGTTTACAACTAGTACTCTGTATAAAAAATCTTTGTAGAGAGACAAAAGTCTTTATTTGTTAATGAAGCTTGTAAGCTATTAATAGCAAATACAGATGAAATAACAGAAGTTTTAAATTTTCAATACACTTTTTAAAAATTTTAAAAGTACTTGCAACTACAAACCCTCTTTTATATTTTTGCTATTTTAGAATTTTTTTTTAGAAATTTTGGTCAAAAAGTAGAAAAATCAGTATATCTTTTTTAAAATATTAGCAGTATTTACTTTTTCTAAATTAGAATATATCTACTAAATAGAATATTTTATAATAATTCCTATGAGCTTATTTGGGTACTACTTACTATAAATCGCCGAATACAAGACCTCCATGATAGTAGACCCACCATGTAGTATATCTGAATATGTATTATGAGATCTATATTAATCAAATATGGTTTTTTTCAAATATCTAGATTGTCTATTATAAATACAAAATTTACATACTTTTTAAAGTTTTTTTCTTAGTATTATGAACTCTCGGCTGCATACTAGACCCAGGGTCTATTATAGGATTTAAAATTGGTGAAATGTAAGAAACCAGGTCTTGTATCTGGCAATTTACAATATTAAATAATCAATAACAGTATTATAAGAAGTCAGAGAGATTACATAGAGTATCTTATATTAAAAGAGCCTATTTTGCAATAAAACTAAATGTATACAAAACTAATAAATACATTGTATACAAAAAAAAAAAGAAAAGTATTAAACACTTAATAAGTTGTAAAGTATCAATAGATCTAATACAAGATATTAAAGAGTAAGAAGTAGAGTTAATTTTTAAAGAAATAGAAGAAATACAAAACATATATGAAAGGAAAAAGAAGATTTTAGTTATAATAGAAAAAGAAGCCTAGCTAAAGAGTTATAAAGAAGAGAGTGATAGATAATAAGTCTGATTACAAAAAAAAACTTTAAGGAAATATAGTCAATTTTTGAATCTAATAAACAAACTAGTAATTTTATCATTAGCAAATTTAATAGAGTATAATATTACAAAATAATTTATGACCTGTAAAAAAAGCATAATATAATGTAAAGGGAGCGCTATTTATCACCTGATTTTTTAGAATAAGGGGATCTGAAAATTATCAGGTTCTAATAGTAGATAACTTTTGATTGGGTAAAATTTTTTAAAATTTTTTAAAAATTTAAAAAATTTTTAAACTTTAATATTAAATAAAATTTGAACCAATAATCTGTTTTGGATGATTTTACTACCAAAATATTCATCTCAATAAGATGATTTCAACAAGTTTAAAATTGTCAAAATCTAATCACTGGATCCCAAGA